AGTGATTTGAATCACTGAATCAAATCACTGTCCTCCGAATCGGCTGAATCCGAATCTGAATCAAATACTTCCCTATTCGCACAGGTCTGCTACCCTGCCCTGTTGCCTTCCTAATTTCAGACAAAGCTTGGAAGTACAGAGGCACTGAAGTTTAGAGCCAGTTCTTATTTTATTTGAGATGGTTGGTTTGCTTATCCATAGCTATGAACTTCTGCCACCTCTGCCTTTTGGGTTTTGGTCAAACCATTACGCCAAGTGCCTCCTACTCTTTTGTCTAAAATTAGAAGCTGGATGAATTGTTAATTTAACACTCATTTATGTAGAGGAGCAGAAAAATTGGCGTGTACTCAGCATGCAGCATAATCGGACCTGTTCCAACATAGCCATAATTTCCTGACCTTTAAGGCATGCAACAAGGCACATTTTAGGAGAGCTGCTATAGATGCATGTTTCTAGAGTAAAATAGGAAGTTGGGTTTGTTTTTTGAGCTGCTTAGTTACTTAGTGTTGCATGTTTGGGATTGTTGTTTTCTTTCTGATTTATTCCATTTTAAGTGTTCTTTTGAAATGCAGAGTACTGAGTAAGCAGCTCATTTATACATGTGTTATCTTTAACTTGTAGTAGTGCCTTAGGGCTCTAGCCCCATTTTGTAGTTGGCACTGTATAAATACCAATTATGTATTGGACCTGGGCCAATACCAAATTATTTTCAGGATGAACTTTAATCAAATAAGTTGATAGTGGCACTGGATGTATTGGAAAATATAGTCACTTCTTTCTAACTTGTTTTTCATTAAATGTTACATGTTCTGCAAAGTCTGTGGGAACCATATCCACTGTAGTAGGTGAAAATTTAAGACATCAACTTAAAATTTACCTTTTTCTTTCTTTTTGTATTGGTTGGTGCAAGAAACATCTAAGGTAATTGCTATGGTTCAAATATCAGAAACAGTGAAGTACTTGAAGTACTGAGCACTGCCCTAGCTGTACACCAATTGAAATCAATGGTAAGACTCCCATTGACTTCAGTCAGAGAAGAGGTAGACAACACTGAGTACTTGTGAAAAACTGTTGCTAGAATTTTGGTCTGCATTTTTTAAGCTTGATTTCTTTGTGCATTTGGCAGCACTCTACATAGACACAAAAGCTGGCAGGAGGGCGAAGGGCTGGGGTAAGGGCAGTGGCTAAGACCTACTTCTCATTCACATTGTTGACTCCCCTCCCCCACA